CTAAAAAATTTTGGGACAGCGATAAATTATATGGCAAATAAAATTAGTGCGCAGGAAAAACACTGCCAGTAGTACTCCCTCTGAAGCAGCCAAATCCTTGGGGCAAAAGCACAGTGGCTAAAGTTATAAAAGCGCTCAAAAATACTCGGATTTCTGCGCAGATATTCCTCTAAATATCGCCGTTGAAAATCACATTTCAACGAAAAAATAGAATAATGAAGTATCAACACCAGTCTGTTATGGATGAATTTTTCCGGAGAGAATACCCCAAAAATAAAGTTTTTACCCTGGCATTGGCATTTGTCCGCTGGTCCAGGTAAAACTGATGCAGTGCTATTGCTGTTGACCAAATTGTTTTACACAAGAAGTTACTATCACAATAAAATGCATGAATTTGTACAGCCGACGATGCTACTGAACGTCTGGAAACCGACATCCTGGAAATAGTTCTATTAAGTTTCTGCTACATTCAAAACTGTAAAATCAACGAATTTCAGAGCTAAATCAAGGCATGCAGTGAAGGAAATTTATATATGCTGTCGTATTTTGTTCAGTTATTGTCAATGAACGAAACTTACTGAGTTGTTGGATCTTTGACTGCTCTGGTCAGCTCATCGTCTGAATCCAAGTAACCCGTGCTATCCAAAATGCTACTTGCATTGCCCAGTGAATGAACAACCCTGGAAACCCCTTTCGTTACATATGCAAAAACCGAAAAAACAAGATGCACGCGCTTTTTCTGCCAGTTAAAAATTAGATTTCATCCAAAAGAACATTTGAATGAAACGGATATTTTTTTGTTGTATCTCACAAATTTTTAAAATATACAAACCCAGTGATGGCTTAAATAGGCAAGATGGCTTAAATTAAAAAATGCTAAGAAGCAAAACCCCAACTTCAGACGCGAGAGGAAAAAACTCTGCATAAGTATTCTGCAAAAGGCTGTGGAACTGTCATCCGTTATAAGAAATTCACTAGTTTTGAGAATAAATTCTTTTAAACAATTAGGATATGGACGTTTGCATGGAAAAACAGTATTCTTTGCAGCCAGGAAAAATGCTCTGTACGTTACAGAACCCTTGTTTATTGCAACAAAAATCGGTAGCAATGTTGTGAGATTTTTTTTTTGGAAACCGCTTTATGGTCGTTTAATCCATATATCAGGAAAGGTCCTGGAGGAAAGACCGCATGATTTTCTTGATGAGAAAGTAATACGCCTGTGAATGGGTGAATCTGTCCCCAAAATACCCAGCTGTAGTGGCCTGGAGTTATTTATTGAAACCATTAACCTGCGACAAGAAATCTAATATGTGTGTTTGTTTATCTAATCGTTAGCCAGAAATATAAAAAATGTCAAAAAAGCGCAAAGAAGTTTGGAAATGAGAAAAACTAAGTGCCAGCTCGAACATCCCTCACAGCTCCTCTAAAAAAAATCAATTTTTTTTCTGGAACCGTGTCAAGGTGTATGGATTAAACACGTATAGAGCAATTCTCAAAAAAAAAAAAAACGTACAGCACCTGTTTGTTTCAGTAAATGAGAAATCTGTCACTACGAAGAATATTCTCTTTTCACACAGAAAACTACGTCCTGAATTTTAGCTCTTGAATTTCTTTTTGTCTCCTCGATGACCTCTATAATTTTTAGAGCAACAGGCACTACTTACCGTGTATTTCGCACTTCTATGGAAAATTTCCGATCACGATAATAAAGATTATCCAATAAATACCAGTTAAAAATCTAAATAGAACATTACCCGATGAAACGATACTGGAATGGAAAAATCCGAAGAATTGGGACAGAAATGTGCCAGAATGAGAACAAACGGTGCATTCCAATCACTGCGAAGAGGGAAAGAAGGAAAAAAGTGACATTAAAATAAGTTCGTTCTCGCAACGAATCTTTCGTTCTTCGGAACACAAACGGGACAGTGCCGACGACGACGACGACCTTGCCCACAAAGCGGCACAAGAAACACTGGGAAAACTGCAACGGCCGGCAACCCCAACAAAACGTTCAAATTAAAATTGCTGTCAGTCAATTTGGTTGCTCATGTGGCCAGCTCGAGCGAAGGTCAGCTCCCGAAGGGTGGCCTGATTTACTGATAACGACAAAGAGCTTGAATGACTGCTACTCAATCAAAGAATCTGACACAACATTCTAACAAAATGAAAAAAAAAGAAAAATCAACCATT